ACCAGAACTGGTACTAGTCTTACCGGACTTAGGTCTGGCCTACAAATTCCCTCTCTAATCATCCACTTAACATTCAACAAGTATTTAATAAACACCTACTATATCCCAGGCAGTGGCACACAGTAGGTATTTAATAAATGCTTGTTGATTAATTGATTGGATACCAAATGTGTGCTAAGTACTAGTGATATAAATATGAAATTGAACCATTCTCTGTCTTCAAGAAGCTCATTTTCTATCAAGGGAGGCAGAAGGAGTGTAACAGACCTTAGAGCATGCACAGATATTCTCTGTCTACCCATGGGGAACCATGTAGAAACTTGATCATTCACTAATTGACATACAATACTGGCTTTTGAATACATTTGAACTATTAGTGGGCTAAGTCCTCTTCCAATGGTTGCTGAGCCAGGAAAAATGCTGACTCGGGGTGCCACACTGAAAAAACCTGGCTTGCCTTCTGCTCTCCAGAAAGGAAAATGGGATTTCAGCCAGGAGTGGAGAAGGAGGCCCTTCTTTACCCCAGCCATCACTCCCCATGTCAAGTGGGGACTCAAATAGGCAGGCTTGTGCTGGGACCCCTGTCTGCCTTTGCTGGTCTTATTTGATTATTTCCTATAGCAGTGATCTCCTGAGCCCTGAAAAGTCCTCAGAGAAGCCAGAAATCACAGGGGCCACAGCAGTAACCTGGGGAGACTGTTGTCTCCATCGGAGAGAAAGTGAGGCCACTGGAGAGAAAATCCTGCTTGGTGTTTGATCAGACTATACTGGGTAGAGATTAATGTAAAGCAGCTAATTAGGAATCTTGTAAAGAAACTGTTTCCCGAGGGGCTTGAATATTATGCTCCCAACTGTTAGGAAGAGTGAGAAATATTCTGGATTCTGTTCAAGTCATTCCGTGATTCTTTATTACTTTGCATTCTGCTTTCTGTGTGGGAGTAAACTATCGTGTTCTGTAACTGATTCATACACTGGGTACCTTTTTATTTTCCCCTCTTGCTGGGGAAAACGCTAGACTTTGAGCCCTTAATTATTTCTGTAATTATTTACTCTCTATGTAGCACTTTTCCCTAGAAATCTAAGGCAGAGAATGAAATGAAGCCTGAGGAAGCTTAATTCCCCTATTGAAAAGACAGGAAACTCTAAACCATTGCAATAATCCAGGTAAGGGGTAATAAAAGTCTGAACCAGGGCAGCAGAACTAGGCAAACCCCGATAGATTGACTGAGAGTGAACTACAATGGCAGGCAAAGTACAGAGCGCGGCACGGGTCACAAGCACCGGTGACTTCAGCCAAGCGGATGCCTCTGGTCACTGCTGAATACGAACACACAAATCAATACCATTTTGGCAGAGGGGATGGAGGGGAAAAGTAGAACTTGAGGAGCTCAGAAAAGCTTTCTTCGGGGTGGTGTTTGTGCTGAACTGCGAAGGAATCTGGGGATTCTTGGAGGCAGACGGTAGTGAATTCCAGACGCGGTAGATAGCTCAGGCCAAAGGCATATGGGAGACAGACTGTCATGTGTAAAGCAAGAAGGTCAGTTCGTCTGAACCATAGCATCCATGAAGGGGGAAAATTTGTAAAAAAGGAGAATAGCTTGTAATACATAATAATAAATTCCTATTATAATATAATAAAGAAAATGATAGGTTGTAGCCAGGTTGTGAAGGGCTTTATATTTAATTCTGTGGGTAATAAGGAGCCAGTGGAATTTAATGAGTAGTGGAATGACACAATTAGGCCTGTGATTTTGGAATATCATTTTAGCAGCTATGTGGCAGAAAGTTTGGAGAAAGGAGAGACTGGAGGCAGGGAAACAAATTAGGAGGCTATTGCCATAGTCCAAGTGAGAAGTGATGAAGGTCTGAACTAATGTAGTGACCATAAGAAGAGAGATGTCATAGAAGTAAAATCAATGATTTTACAAATGTACGGGATAAAGTTGAATGCTGAGCTGGGAGTGACTCCGAGGTTGCTAATCTGGCCGACTAGAAGGACAATGGTGCCCTCAACAAAAATAGGAAAGTTCAGAAAGGTAGACTGGAAGGATAGATGAGTTCTATGCTGGCCAAGTTGAGATGCCCATTGGAACAATTAGTTGGAAATGATCAATAGGCAAATGGTGAATATGTAGATCTGGGACCTATAGACGTAGAAATGATAATTACACCTATGCTAGTTGATGGGGTCAACAAGATAGAGCGCAGAGAGAGAAGAGGATCCGAAACAGAGACCTGGAATACATCCACAGTTAGGGGCTACAAGAGAGGTGTTGATTCAGCAAAGAAGAATGAGAAGAAATCAGGCTAAGTAGATGGAAGACCAAGAGAGAGCACATTCATGACAATTCAGAGAGGAGAGACTTTCCAGTAGGAGGGGGGATCAACAGTGTCAGATAATGCAGGGAGGTCATGGATGAAGACCAAAAAATGAAATAATTTCTGTCCTTCTGGATCTTATATTCTTTTGGAGGGAACCATTTGTAAACAGATATGTAAATGTAAATTATATAGCAAAATAATGTAAAATGTAAATATAAGATGTAAAATATATAGGAAATAAAAAATATATAGGAAATAAATCCAAGGTAATTTCTGATGTATATGTGGGGAGAGAGGGGGACATTTTCAATGAGGATAAATCAGTGTAGGCCTTGTTTGGGTGTGTTAAGTTAAGCTGAGACTTGAAAGAAACTGGAGTTTCTGTAAGACAGAGGAGTGTCTAGAACTGGGGAGCAGGCATTGAAAAAGCAGGGAGACAGGATCTAGAATACTTTGTAGGGGAATGACATATGGGTTACTGAAGGAATGTCAGTGCAAACTATTTCCTTTGCCTGTGATAACAGTGAGGGAGTGAATTGTGCACAAGGAGGAGAAGAAACAAGCATATAATACATGCCCGCTGTGTGCCGGACACTGTGCTGAGCAATTTAAGGTTATTATCTCATCTGATTCTTATAACAATCCTGTTGTGCTATATTTATTTCCATTTTACAGTTAAGGAAACTGAGGCAGATAGCGGTTAAGTGACTTGTCCAGGGTCATACAGCTAGGAAAAGTCTGAGGCTAGATTTGAATTCAGGTCTTCCTGACTTCAGCCCAGTGACCTGTCCACTGAGCCACCTCTTCTCAAGCTACCAGCTTAATAACTGTCTTCGTTTTTCTGTTGCATGCATGGTATAACCTTCCTAAAATCTCAAGGTTCCCCACTGGTCACCAAAGGGGGTAATAGGAAATGCCTGGAGCAGGCTGTTGTGTTTGTCCTTTGTTCTCAAAGAGGACCATGATGTCAGGGAGATGACATGACTTGCAGTTTGATTTGATGGAGGGAAGGCTGTGCAAGGTCACCAGTCTCCTTGTGGGAATAGTTCACTTTTCCCTTTTCTTTTCACTATGTTCAGTCACTTTTGTGGTCTCAGTTTGTCTACAGAGCATAGATTTAGAGCTGGAGGTACCTTTGGAGGCTCCTGAATCCAACTGTCTCATTTTGGAGATGGGAACTAAACCTCTCCAAAACCTTAGGTGACTCACTTAGGATCCCACAGAAAGTATATAAGGCAGGATTTAAACTCAGGTCTTCTGACTTCACTTTCTGAGCATCTGAGTCTTGTGAATAAGAGGAGTTGTGACCAGAGGGAAGAGCTGGGGCTCTAGGGCTATTTGCAGATATTAGAGTTCATACATAAAACATTTTGAGTAATATTCCATTTCATCTTGCTTATTGGTTAATTAATTCTCTTCACAGGTTTGTAACGGGGGTGAAGTCTTAACCTTGGATTTTTTATTTTTTTGGTGAGGGAGGGTGAGTGGGAGGAAACTCCTGAATCCTCTATACCCATAGCTCTTTGGAAAAGGACGAAGGGAGACCATGTGTGCTTGGGATTCCTATGCTCCCGTGTTTTTTTTTTTTTATAGGAACGGGTGCTATATTTTGTCAAAATGCTTTTTCTGCATCTAGTGAGAGTTGATTTCTGTTAGTTTTGTTATTGATGTAGTCAGTTATGCTGATAGTTTTCCTAATATTGAACCAGCTCTTCATTCCTGGTATAAATCCCACCTGGTCGTAGTGTATGATTCTTGTGATATATTGCTCTAATTTCCTTGCTAGTACTTTATTTAAAATTCTTGCATCAATATTCATTAGGGAGCTTGGTATATAGTTTTCTCTGTTTCAGCTTTTCCTGGTTTAGGTATCAGTGCCATATTTGTGTCATAAAAGTAATTTGGTAGGACTCATACACCTCTTTTTCCAAATAGTTTATATGGTATTGGAATTGTTCTTTAAATGTTTGGTCGAATTCACTCGTGAACCCATCTGGCTTGGGGATTTTTTCTTGGAGAGTTCATTGATGGATTGTTCAATTTCTTTTTTCTAAGATGGGATTATTTAGAAATTTTATTTCCTCATCTGTTAATTTAGGCAATTTATATTTTTGTAAGTATTTGTTGATTTTGCTTAGATTGTCAGATTTATTGGTATTTAATAGGGCAAATTATTTCCTAATGATTGCTTTAATTTCCTGTTCATTGGGGTGAATTCATCCTTTTGACTTTTGATACTGGAAATTTGGTTTTCTTTCTTTTTTTTTTTTTTAAAATAAAATTAGCCAATGGTTTATCTATCTTATTGGTTTTTGTTTTGCATTCTAAGGTCCCTTCCTATGTCTGACAATTTATTAGTCTAATAATCGAGTACAAAATTTGTCCTATAAGAAACCAAAGGATTCCTACAGTTGAAGAATTTTTTAACTCAATATTTCAGCTCTTCAAGGATTTGTGATCCCTTGCAGTAAATGCCCCTGAAGAGTCACTCTGAACCAAACATCTGTTATCCTGAAGCTAACCTGGTGTTAAGCCCTTCTGAGCAGCAGGGCTTGTATTTTGATGACAGATGTAGTCTGTTGCCAGGCCCATATTCAACCTGGCAGGACGTGCAAGAGGTAGGCAGTCAATCAAAAATCATTTGTTAAGCACTTAAAATAAACTCTGCTGCCTTGGTCTCCAAGAACCCAGGGCTTCTTCTGTCTGGGCCAAGGTGAAGTGTCAGAAGAGAACTTTATTTGGTAAAGTTAAAATTGGTATTCCTCTGGGGGAAAAAAAAGACTTCCATACATTATTTTTTGGGAAAGCACTTTGCCATGAAAATGTCAAAATGGGAATTTTAGAGGAAAAGAAAATCATCTTAGTAAAAGAGAAGCGGGCTACATGCTTTGTTTTCCATGAGATTTTAAGTGTGCTAAGTCTTCTGTCTGGGTGGAGGGGCAGATATAGCTTTCACCGTCCTGTACTTAAGCAGCAGGGTTTGTACAACAATATCTAGTAGAGACAAGAAGGCAACAGAAAGTATGAGTCCCTGTAAAGAAAAGTGTTACTGTTATTTTGGCCATTCACAGTGGCACCAACACATTTCCCCTCCCATTTCTTGACTTTCAGAAGCATCCAAGCCTAGCAGCCCCCCCAAACTGATGCAGCTCCTTGAGTCTTGATACTGCGTCATTCCTCTTCCTCTCTTTCATTCGCCTAACCCAGGAGTGGGGAACCTGCTGTCTTGAGGTCACATGTGGCCCTCGAGGTCCTCAAGTGGGGCCCTTTTGTCTGAATCCAAACTTCACGGGACGAATCACTTTAATAAAAGGATTGGTTCTGTAAAACTTGGACTCAGGCAAAAGGCCTCACCCGAGGACCTAGAAAGCCACATGTGGCCTCGAGGCTGCAGGTTCCCCACCCCTGCCCTAACCTCTCTCTTCTGGTAAAGTGGCTTGAGTACAAGTTCAAATCCTGACCCCAACACTTGTTGGACTATGTGAGGAAAATGTTCTTGAATATTAAAGTGTTGTGTAAATGTGAGTTTAGAGAAGGAAATGGCAAATGATTCCAGTATCTTTTCCAAGAAAACCCCCAAATAAGGTCATAAAGAGTTGGACATGACTGAACAACAACAATTGTGAGTTATTCTAAGTGGTCATCTAGCCTGTTTGGGGAGTTCACCTCTTCAGGAAGCAGCTATTATTAATAAACGTAAACTGTTCCTACTATTCTTTCTCTCAGCCTCAGTGGATCTAGTTGAAAGAGTATGGGGTTTGGAGACAGAATCTAATTTCAAATCCTGGCTCTGCTATTAGCTGTGTGACCACTAAGTTTCTCTGGGCCTCAGTTTCCTCGTAAGCAAAGGGAAGGAGTTGGGCTAGCTTAATCTGAGGTCATCTCTATTTGTGAACCCAGTGAATCTATGATCTCGACCATCCAACACTTCTCCCATAGTGAAGAAAGTCGGCCTCAGACACACAACATTCACTAGCTGTGTGACCCTGGGCAAGTCACTTAACCCCACTGTCTAGCCCCCCCCCAAAAAAGTTTAAACTAGATACAGAAAGGTTAGATGGTTTGCCCATGGTAATAGATATCTCCTAACTCCAACCCTACTATGTGACTTTAGGCAAGTCACCTAAATTCTTCTGTTCCTCTTATGTGCCCTACCTAAGCTCACGGTATTGTGACCAAGTGAAAGAGGGAGTTGTTGCATGCTGGGCAAACTCTAAGGTAGAACTACAAAGATAGGGAATTATGATAAAGCTTTCACCTGCCTGGAGGAGAAGAGGTCACAAGTTGCCAGGAAGTGGTCAGGAATGTTACAATAATAATGGGCTCCTCGGCATAGATTGAAGGCTTGAAATACCAGCCTCCAGGTGGCCCCATCTGAGACATATTTGTTTACCTATCGAAGTGTATCTCTTCACTTATCAATGGAAAGAACATTGGACTGGGAATCAGGATATCTGGGTTCCAATCCTCTGATGTAGACCAGTTTTGTCCCACTTAAGCATAAGTTGTGTGACATGGGGCAGGTCATTTCACTTGTCCGGGTTTCCTCATTAGCAAAAATAGGATAATAATAAGTAACTTGTGATCCCAAGCTACTTGCATAAGACTCTCCCCATTGGTGGAAATTACCTATTTGAAGCCAAAATTTCCCACATTGGCCATGCCCAGAAAGAAAACAAGATGCCTCAATCTGCACCTGGAAATCATCACCTCTCTATCAGGAGGTGGGTAGTACGTTTCATGGTGAATTCTTTGGTTGATTGGTTGGTCATTGGGTTAATTAGAGTTACTAAGTCTTTCAAAGTAGTTTGTCTGTATGATATTGTTGTTATTGTATAAATTGTTTTCCTAGTTCTTCTCACTTCACTCTACATTAGTTCAAATAAGCCTCCCCAGGTTTCTCTGAAACCTTCCTCTTTGTAATTTCTTACGGGATAATTGTATTCAACCACATTCATACATCCTAACTTGCTCAGCCATTCCCTAATTAAGGAGCACCCGCTCAGTTTTCATTTTCAATTCTTTGCCAGAACAAAGAGCTGCTATCCATATTTTTATACATACATCTTTAGAGTTTGTGTTTTTTGTTTTGTTTTGTTTTGACCTAGAATCAATCCCTCCCTTGATTTTTCCTCCCTCTTACACCTCTTTCTCCTTTTCCTCCTTTATTCCTGTTTTCTTGTTCAGTGAAGTGTATTTCTATACCCAACTATGTGTGTTTGTATTCTTCCTTCCTTTACTTTTTTTAATTCAATTTCATTTTATTTTCAGTTCCAGATTTTTTCCCTATCCACACCCTCTTCCCCACCCATTGAGAAGACAAGAAATACAGAACACATTACAAATATGAAATCATGCAAAACAAATTTCCACATTAGCTATGTTCCCCACCCCCACCCCCCAAAAGAAAGAAAAAATACGCTTTAATTTGTACTCTGAGTCTGTTGGTTTTCTGTCTAAAGGGGGATAACATGTTTCATCATGAGTCTTGTGGAATTATGGTTGCCTCATTCTGTTCATCAGAGTTGCTATGTCTTTCACAGTTGATTTTTTTTTATAATACCATTGTTATGTGCAAATTATTCTCCTGGTTATGCTCATTTCACTTTCTCTGAGTTTATATAAGCCTTCCCAAGTCTTTTCTGAATCCAATTCCCTGCATCATTTCTTACAGAAAAATGATATTCCATCACATTCATATGCCATACCTTACTCAGTCATTCTCAAATTGAGGGGCACTCCCTCAGTTTCCAATTCTTTGCTACCCCAAAAAGAGCTTCTATAAGTATTTTTTTACATCTTTAGATTATCTGGGGTTTTTTTTGCTTTGTTTTGCTTAGGATTAATCCTTCCTTCAATTTTCCCTCCTTCTTATTATCCCCTTACCTCTTTTCCCCCTTCACTCCTGTTTCCCTGTTTAGAGAAATGCATTTATGTAGCCAGCTATGTGTGTATGCATTCTTCCCTCCTTTGACCAATTCAGATGAAAGCAAGGTTCCAGCGTTATCTGTTCCCCCTACTCCCTCTTCCTTGTTTGTATGGAAATCTGCTTTTGCACCCTAATTATGTGAGATAATTTTCTCTGTCTTTCCTTCTCTTCCCCCAATGGTATATTCCTCTTCCCTTTCTCTTTGCATTCTTCTTTTAAGATAATCAAAATATAACAGAACTACTCCTTGGATCACCAATTAGGGTTGGACTCTATGACCCCGAAGATAGGGTTCTGAAGAGACATATGTATTATCTTCCTATATTAGAATATAATAATAGCTAGCTTAGTTTGTTTACTTTATTATGATTTTATGCTCATGTTTGCATTTTTATATTCGTGTGACGCCTGTGCTTGCCCTTCACAATTTCCATGTAGTTCTGGTCTTTAGGAACACTTGGAAATTCTCTATTTCATTAAAGGTCAGTTTTCCTCCTTGTAGGATTATGCTTAATGTTCTTCCTGGTCGTAGACCTGTATCCTTTGCCTTCTGGAATATCATGTCCCAAGCTAACTGTTCCTTCATGGTGGTGGTTGTGTCGTCCTAATCATAGATCCTCAGTATTTGAGTTCTCTCTTTCTGGTTGCTTGCAGAATTTTCCCCTTTAACCTAGAAGCTCTGGAATTGGCATTGATATTCCTGGAAAGTTTTAATTTGGGGTTTCTTTTGAGAGGTGACTGGCAAATACTTTCTATTTCTACTCTGCCTTCTGTCATTCTAAGAGATGTCGATAGTTTTTTGATTTCATGATCTCTTGGTAATTGGTTATTGGTCTAGATTTGTGTTTGGTCATGGCTTTCAGGTATTCCAATGATTCTTTCTTTTTTTGGGGGGGGGTTAGGCAATGGGGTTAAGTCACACAGCTAGTAAGTGTTATGTGTCTGAGGCCAGATTTGAACTCAGATCCTCCTGAATCCAGGGCCAGTGCTCTATCCACTGTGCCACCTAGCTGCCCCCTATTCCAATGATTCTTAAATTAGACAGGAAGGAAATAAACATGAAGCACCTACTATATGCCAGGCACTAGGCTAAGTACTTTACAACTATTATCTCATTTGATACTCACAACAACCCTGGGAGGTACATGCTGTCATTTTCCCCATCTTACAAATGAGGAAACTGAAGCAGACAGAGGTTAAATGACTTGCCCAGGATCACATAGCTAGTAAATATCTGAGGTTGGATTTGAACCCAGGTCTTCCTGACTTCAGGCCCAGCACTCTATCCACGGAGCACCTAGCTGCCTATTATGTCTCCTTAATCTATTTCCCAGATCAGTTGTTTATGCTGTGAGATACCTTACATTTTCTTCTATTTTTTTCTTGTCTTTTAATTTTGTTTTAAAATTTCTTGCTGTCTCGGTGAGCCATTATCTTCTATTATGTCCTTTCTAATTTTCAAGGAGTTTGTTGCGTGGGCAAGGTTTTATACCTTTTGTGCCAAGCTGTTAATTCTATTCCCAATTCTTTCATCCATAGCTCTCATTTCCTTTCCCACTTCTAGAACCCTCATTTTTATTTATAAAAATATTTTCCATTCTTAAAACATTTCTTCACATCTAAGAATTCTAGTTGAACTTGTATCCAAGCTGTGTTTTACTTTGAAGCTTTTCTTGTAGATGTTTGGGAGTCATTCTTTTCTTTTTGTTGTTGTTGAGTGTTCTCTTACCATAATAGCTTTTATGGATGGGATTATTTTTGTTTGTTCATGCTTTTAGTGTACTTCCTAACTTAGTACTTTATATTAGGGCTGGTCAATGCTCACATCCAGAGGGAATGTCTGGGCCAAGCTTGTGTCCTCTAGGGTCTTGCTGCTGCTTTCTTGGGTTGAGTCTTGTATTATTCCAGGATCTCAGGCTGTCCTTGCAGGACCTGTAAGCACTCAGTGCTCCTGAAGTGGTCTGATCCAGGGTAAAATCTGATTGCTGTCCCCTTGGTTTGAGTTCTGAAAGTTCTTGACCTGGAATTGGGTTTGGGCAACATATCTGTGGGCTTGCCCTATTTGGTGTTTCAGTAGACTGCTGCTGGATTCAGCCACTTTTAGACATGTAGGAAGCTCTGCTGGTTCAGAGTGACAGAACTACAGGCTTCCCTTTGGTCTGGGATTTCTGTCTTGGTTATTCCACTGCAGTCTAGAGATGAAAGGCTGCTCTACTCCTAGAGTCAGAGCCACATAGCTGCTGCTTGCTTCCAAACTTGTTCCTTGATTAGTACACAATCTAGGGCACTAGGGAACTAAGGAGCCAGGGATCACTTCTCACCCTGGAATGCCACCCCTAGATGCAGGTCCCCTCCTCATTCTAGATCTATGACCCAGAACTTCACAGCAAGTGACAGAACTGCCATTTGGCATCTATCTGTTCCGGTCTGCTGCACAAGGTCAAGTTCCTGTGCGTTACTGCATCTGAGACTCCTTGTGGCTCTGGTGCATAGCCTCTCCTTATGCTGGAAGAGACCCTGTCCCCAGTGTCCCCAGACCTCTCTGACTCCTTTTATTGACCTAAGCTAGAAAAATGATTTGCTGTCATTTTATTTTCTTGGATTTCCTGATCATGATGTGGTCTGATGAATTCTACCTGTGTGGAGCAGTTGTGGGTAGAACTTGGCTGGTACTACTCTATCATCTTGACTCTACCCCACACTAAACCCCCAATATATAGATAGCTATGTTAATAAGTAGGGCTTTTCTCCTCATGTAGGATCCTTGTGTATCAAAAGCATATTCTCCTGTAGGATATCAGGGGGGAAAGCTCTAAGCACCTCTCTTCAAGTCTTTGATTCTCATTTGAGAAGATGGCCCAAGGCCATATTCCTGATATGTCCAGAACTCCCTAGGAAGACCCCAGGCCATATTAATTATCTACTCTTCTGTCTGTGTAGGTAGTTTTAATAGTTTCCTACTTTATTTTACTTTTACCCTGAAAACCAGTTGAAGTTTATTCCTGAGCCACCAATCATAATTTTGCAGATAAGAGTCTACCTGGGCCCAAATGGCCTCATGGCACTGAGGATCATAGATAAGACCTTCTATATTCCCTAGATTGCCAACCCTGAATAAATTGGCAAACATTCTGATCCTGTATGCTTATCTCAGTCAACTGATTACTGTAGTCAAAGATCCCAAAGTAGAGGTCTAGAATCAGAGGTAATGGAAAATACCTTGCTCCCCAACAGTCAGGATCCTAGAGCCCATCTGAAAGAGGGAGCATCTCTAACACATGTCAGAGATGAGACTTTTCTGTACCAAAAGGGGGAGCTAGGAAGCCATCTTTAGAGCTGCCACCCACTACTCCTGTCTGGATATAGCTTTGGAGGCCCATGGCATCACTCCTGACTCAAGCTGGTTATCAATACTATCCTTTAATAAATCTCTTTGGGACCTATGCATCATATGCATCTGTTTCTTCTTCTTTTTTTCCTTCTCTAGCATGGATGCTGAGTTACAACCTAAACACTGATTTGGAGAGGCCAATTATCAGATCTAAAATGGGCAGGAGAAACCGGTCCAATTTACTCATTTTAAAACTCAACCTCGCACATTGAGCCCACATCCACATTGCTGAAATGAGCAGCACTAATACTGGAGCATCATGCTGCCCATTAGAAAACAGACTTCTCCTGCAACAGGACAGAACATAGACATTTTCCCAAAGGACCTGAATACAGATTTTTAACATGCAGAAATGAAGCTTAAAAATAATTTACTTACAGCTACTTGCCAGTATAGTTTATCCATAGTGCCTGGTGGGTGAATTATTGAATAGAAGCCTGCATAGGCAAGGTATACAAATGCAAAAAAATCATTGAGAATATCCTGAAAATGCAGAATAGAAAAATAGTCAACATTGAATGCTAATGGAGTATCATAAAAATACTACAATTGCCTAAGGATTCAGTGCAATTCAACTCAATAACTACATGTTACACACCAAAATACACAGCAGGCATGCAAAGACAAGACTGGAAATAGTCTCACCCTCAAGGGGCCGACATTCTACTGAGCAGCCTGCTTCAGCCTGATTCCAGGCCCGCCACAACTGAAGCTCCTGACTAGACTAGACCAGTGCATACTTGTATCACTCCTGCTTGCTGCAAGGTGGACCTTTTGGGGTTCACAGGACGCATCCATCACCACCCACTATGAGGTTGGGCATCAAGGGAAGGCCTTGGACAATTGAATCACCTGCCGCCTCCACAGGCCTCTCTCTGGGCACTGTTGCCTGAACTCATTCTTCAGTAGTTGTACTCAATGGAGTATACTCCTACTACATCAGCCTCCCCAGTTCCAGTGGTTCTGAACCCCCGGCTACTGAAGTTCAAACTCTACTTCCTATCCCCAGCTGCCTGGCCCCTCAATCCCATCTCTCTCAACCTTACCCTGCAGATATCCCACTCCAGATCTACTCAGCCCTTCCACTGGCTTCTCTTGAATGCCTACTCAGTAATCAAGAAACTTGATTTCATCTTAAACCTTTTTTCTTCTTTTTCCCTCCCTCCATCTTTTTGTACTCACTGATACGTAGCTGCTACATTCCCTAGATTGCCAACCCTGAATAAATTGGCAAAATTCTGATCCCGTATGCTTATCTCAATCAACCAATTACTGTAGTCAAAGATCCCAAAGGAGAGGTCTAGAATCAGAGGTAATGGATAATATCTTGCTCCCCAACAGTCAGGATCCTAGAGCCCATTTGAAAGAGGGAGCATCTCTAACACATGTCAGAGATGAGACTTTTCTGTACCAAAAGGGGGAGCTAGGAAGCCATCTTTAGAGCTGCCACCCACCACTCCTGTCTGGATATAGCTTTGGAGGCCCATGGCATCACTCCTGACTCAAGCTGGTTATCAATACTATCCTTTAATAAATCTCTTTGGGACCTATGATTACAGAAGGTGCCATTTGAACTGAATCTTGAGGGAAGCCAAAAGGTGGAGGTAAAGAGGGAGAACATTCCAAGCATGAGCTGGGACATGGAATGTTCCATTCAAGCAACTACAAACAGGCCAGTGTTGCTAGATTAGACAGTAGTTGGAGGGGAATGAACTGTGAGAAGACTGGAGAGATTGGAAGGGATCAGATTGTGAAAGGCTTTAAATGCCACACCAAGCCTTTTATATTTGATCTTGGAGGTAATAGAGAGCAACTAGATATTGTTGAGGAGGGATGCTACATTCCTGGCTACTCTGCTATGAACTAGCTCTCTTTTCCATCATATCCTGCCCCTTTCCCCCAACACTGGTAGTGGTGTGGGCCGGGGGAGCTGACATTCTTTGCTCCCCATTATCTCTTCCAGACTCTCTCTCTACCAATATTACAGGAACCTCTCCTCCTTTGAGGTTCACTCTATTAAAATTTGTCACTCAATCCAGATCCTGGTGGCTACTGTCAGTTGAAAAAAAAAATGAAACTATTGCAGAGAATTCCCTTTTCTTCACTCCTCATCTCACACTACTCAGATATGTTTTCCTCACTGTCTCCTCTTTCACGCCTATCTTCCCTAAAGAGATGGCTCTTCTCCTTGTCAAGGCAGAGCCCTCTATCTGCACAAGTGATTTTGGTCCAATCTGCCTTCTCCAGCAGACTGCCCCTTTATCAGCCCAACTCTATAATCTTGAATCTCTATCTACTTGCTCCTTCCCCATGCCCAAACACACTCATATCTCCTTTATCCTTAAAAAAAAAAGGTCACCTGATCCTACGGTCCTTGCTTATCATATTTCTATCTTCTTCTCAGGTAAGCTACTTGAGAAAGCTAACTACAACTGGTGCCTTCACTTCCTCTTCTCTGCACTCCAACCTCAATATGTAGCTGAAATTGCTCTCTCCAAAGTCTCCAATGATCTCTTTTTTTAAACATTTAATTTTTAATTTTATTTTTTCTCAATTACATGTAAATAAAATTTTTTTACATTCATTTTTAAAAATTTTGAGTTCCAAATTCCCTCCCTCCTGTTTCCCTCCTTTAGAAGGCAAGCAATTTGACATAGATTATACTTGTGCAGTCAGGCAAAATGTTTCCATATTACCCATGTTACAAAAAAAAGCTCAGACCCCAAAAAACAAGAATGATAAAGAAAGTTTAAAAAGTATGCTTTAATCTGCATTCAGACTCCATCAGTTCTTTCTCAGGAGATGGATAGCATTTTTCAATATAAAGTTCTTCAGAATTGTCTTAGATCACTGTATTGCTGAGAATAGCAAAGTCATTCACAGTAAATCATCACTGTTATTATAATATTGCTATAATAATACAATAATTGATATAATAAAATATAAAATTGCTGTTACTGTGTATGATGTTCTTCTGGTTCTGCTCATTTCACTTTGCATCAGTTTATGTTCCAATGATCTCTTAGTTGCCAAATCCAATGGCCTTTTCTCAATCCTCATCTTTTTTCTGCCTCTGTGCAACCTTTGACATTGTCAGTCACCCTCTTCTGCTTGATATTTTCCCCTCTCTAGGTGCCCATGACACTACTCTTTCCTTGTTTTCCTACCTGTCTCACAACTCCTCCTCAGTCTCTTTTGTTAGTTCTTCGTCCAGGTGACATTTACTAACCATGGATGTCCCCCAAGGGTCTGCCCTGGGCCCTCTTTTCTTCTCCACCATACTATCTAATTTGGTGGTATCAGCTCCTGTGGGTTGAATATCATCTCTGTGCAGATTGATTCCCTTAGTAAGTCCAGAGTAAATGTTCTTCAAACTGGATGTTCATTACATGTCCCAAACTGAACTCATTATCTTCTCCCAAGCTCCACTTCTCTTTCCAATTTCCCAGTTTGCTTTTGAGTCCTCCCAATCACTCAGGCTCACAGCCGTGAGGCCATCCTTACCTCCTTTCTTTTAGTCACCTCTCATTTCTAATCAGCATCCCCTTCTCTCCACTCATTCAGCCTGATCACTCTGGTGGAGGCTCTCATCATCTCATACCTGGACTCAAGCGTCTCTTCTCCAGTCTATCTTCTGCTCAGATGCCAAAGTGTTTTTCCTAAAGAGTAGGTCTGACCCTGTCCTCTCCCTCCTCAACAATATCTAGTTGCTCTCTATTACCTCCAAGATCAAATATAAAAGGCTTGGTGTGGCAATTTAAAGCCCTTTACAATCTGATCCCTTCCAATGTCTCCACTCTTCTCACAATTCATTCCCCTCCAACTACTGTCTATTCTAGCAACACTGGCCTATTTGTAGTTGCTTGAATGGAACATTCCATGTCCCAGCTCATGCTTGGAATGTTCTCCCTCTTTACCTCCACCTTTTGGCTTCCCTCAAGATTCAGTTCAAATGGCACCTTCTGTAAGAGACCTTCTCTCCATCGCCTACCCAGGGCTTTTCCTTTGAGATTACCTCAAATTTATCCTGTGTGGATCACATATGTACAAAGTTATTTGCAAAGGCACATGGTTGAGAAGATGGAACACTAAATGGAAAACATCAGGGGCAGATAGGTGGCACAGTGGATAGAGCAGTGGCCCTGGAGTCAGGAGGACCTGAGTTCAAATCCAGCCTCAGACACATGATACTTACTTAGCTGTGTGACCCTGGGCAAGTCACTTAACCCCTTTGTCTAGCCAAAATAAAAATAAAAAAAAAGAGGAAAACATCAAAGTGCAGGCAAATGGAAACTTTCATTTGCTTTTGAAAAAAATAGATTTTATTAAGAACAAGTTTTTATTAGTAATCACAGCTTACCTTTCTATAATGCTTTGGAGTTTACAAAATGCTTTCCTTACAATATTCCTTTAAGATCCATAACACAAGAATTATTATCCCCATTTTACTGGTCAGGAAACTTTCTATTGGATTGTAGAGATCACTTAATTGAACCCCTAATTTGACAACTGAGGAGACAGAGGCACACAGATTAAGAGGCTTGTTCCATGTCATACAACTTGTTGTTAATAGAGCCAGGAATTTCACCTATAGCCTATTAGGTAAAAAAAATCAGTGCTTCTTCCATTATACCAGTCATTCAGTCAACAAGCATTGATTAAAGTGCCTACTAAGTTCCAGGCACTGTTCATAGTGCTGTGAGTACAAAGAAAGGCAAAAGACAGTCCCTGGTCTCAAGAAGCTTAATGGGAGAGACAACAAGCAAACAGCTATATATAAACAAGTCATAAATGGGAGAAATCGGAACAAATCCACAAATGGATGCCATCAGAATTAAAGAAGATCTAGAAAGGCATCCTGTGGGGTTTGAGCTGGGACATGAAGGAAGCCAGGGAAGCCAGCGATCAGAGGTGAGGAGGGAGAGAACTCTGGGCATGGGGCACAGCCAGTGCAAATTCCCAAAGTTGGGAAAGAAAATGTTTTGTGCTAGGAATTCTGTGTGTGTGTGTGTGTGTGTGTGTGTGTGTGTGTGTGTGTGTGTATGTGTGTGTGTGTGTATGAGAGAGAGAGAGAGAGAGAGAGAGAGAGAGAGAGAGAGAGAGAGAGAGATTTGGTCAGACCTGCTTTAAGATCACGTAGTGGCTGAATCAAGGATGCACGTGGAGTGAGGATACACTTGAGGCAGCAGACCCATGAGCAGACTATTGCAGTGGTCCTGGTGTGAAGTGATGAGGGCCTGCACCAGGGTGGGGGTGGTGTCAGAGGAAAGAAGGAGGTAACAAAGGTAGAATGGCCAATCCTTGGCAACAGCTTAGATGTGGGGGGTAGATATAGTGAGGGGGCAAGGAAGACACTAAGATTTTAAGCCAGGGTAACTGGGAAGATGGTGGTGCCCTCAGTAGCAATAGGGAAGTTCAGAATGGGGGAACATAGGGAGCAAAGTTAAAACCCTCAGGGCTTCTGACTTGCACAGTCACACAGCCAATTAGGGGTGGCACGGGAACAAAGCGTGGCTGAGATGAAAGAAAGAGTGAACGGTCTTGGTTGAAATAATGTCTCTGCTGCTTTAGCACCAGGGTGAAATTGGTAAAATCTCTTCTTTGGGGCAGGTATGACTATGCGTGGTGGTGGACGACTTAGAATCAGGAAGACTTGAGTTCAAATCCTGATTTAGATTCTTACCAGCCATGTGACTCTGGGCAAGTCACTCCATTTCTTTGTGCCTCAATTTCTCCATCTGTAAAATGAGGATAACAATAGCACCTACCTCTCACAGTTGTGAGGATCAAATGGAATAATATTTGTAAAGTGCTTTGCAAACCTTAAGGCATTATATGAAGGCTAGATATTATCATTATTATTATTTCTCTGATTCTTAGTTTCATTCCCTGTAAAGTGATGTCAGACTAGTCCCTCCCAACTATAAACCTATGATTTCATGATTCATAAGTTCTATGGCTTTTTCCTCTGGGATTTTTCCATTTGGCACAAATTGTAAAACATGGACTCAAAATAGTCGGTGACTCTGGGTAGTTCTAGCATATGGAGTTCAACTCTCCTATTCTATGAAGGAGAAAAGAGTGCCAGGGAGGTTGGGAAGCATGCCCAATACAGATCACACGGATAAAGCGGCAGAGAATTGAATTCAGTCCATGGCATGGTGGAAAGAACACTGAATTTGGAGTCAGAAGATCTGGGTTTTAGCCCCATTTTGCTATTTAACTACTTGTTTGACCTTTGGCAACTCATTTAACCTGGGGAACTGGAAAAAACTGGAACTCAGTTTCCTCATCTGTTAAATGAGGGTCTTGAATAAATCAGGGGTTCTTAACATGGCTCTTTGAACTTTTTTTAAAATACTGTTTTGAGAACTATTGTTCAATATAATTGGTTTCTTTTATACTCCTATGTACTTTATTTTATGCATTTAAAAATATTATTCTGAGAAGGGGCCCATAGGCTTCCCCAGACTGCCAAAGGGACCCAGGACACAAAAAAGGTTAAGAACCTTGGGATTATATAATCTTTTAAAGGTCCCCTAAATTCCATTAACCTCTGAATTCAATTCAATAAGCATTTTTCTGAAACTTATATGTCTGCTATGTATGATATGTACCCACAAAGACTTAAATTGAAATTATGAAAATGAACACTTACAAAAATGGGCCATATCAGCTTTGTTAAATATCTTGGTAATGCCAGTATATTCGCAAAAATGAAGAAAAAAAAGAGGAAGGATTCTATCATTAAGACCAATGGAACGAACACACTGGCTATTTTGGTTTTTTTCATCAAGAGATATGATGCTATCAGTAATATCTGGAATACAAAATACAGAGTTTCATAGGTCATCATATGGGTACCAATTTGCCAAGATTTTAACCTGTCACCAGGGGATCTGGAGCATGTTGGACAATGGAGTCCTAATCTAAATTGGAATGATATTTACTTCAATGTTCCAAGCAACTGGCATTTCATTGCTGTGGTCCTCTCCCTGATACAGCCCCACCTCATCTTTTCCAATAGTTGGAATGTTTCTTCCCCCTACCCCTTCCCAATTCATTACCTAGGGGTAGTGAGTATCTTCACAATTAACTAGGCTGGTCCTCAAAGGTCTGACTGTCAATCTAGCCCCATTCATATATTTTCAGTCTTTCCAAGCTTGGTGGATCCTTTCAGTTGAGCACCCTTCTGGATCCCAAGATTGCCTTCACTTCACAAGGACACTTTGCAGGGGAGGGGGGGATTTTAGTGAAGGAAGATCAAATTTGATTCAATTCAACAACATAAACCTATTAGGAATACATTGCATAGTCTTATATATGTTTTTAAAAAGTCAGCTGCTCAAGAACACAATGAGAGAGGCTTGCCAAATAACAATTTGTGTGAAAAAAGAGGGAAGGTTTTTAATAGACTGCAAGCTCAAAATGAGCCAACAGAATGACATCCAATTCAATCCAATAGACATTTATTAATCACCTACTGTATGTGGGTCACTGTGCCAGGGGCTAAAGATAGAAAGATTAAAAAAAAGAGTTCTTGCCCTTAAAGAGCTTGCATTCTTCTGGGGATACAGCATGGGTAAATAAATGCAAAATAATTTCCAGAAGGAGAGAGCACTAACTTGGAGGGCCAGGGAAGATCTTGTAAGGTAGGATGTGGCACCCTAGTCGAGTCTTAAAGGAAATCAGAGATTCTAAGAGATGGAGGTGAGGAAAGAATGCATTCTAGGCATAGGGGGCAGCCTGGGCAAAGGTATACAGAAAGCAGTTGGCTCATTGAGTACAGGGAGCAGCTAGTGCACCAGAAAATAAAGGGAGGAGGAGAGTCAGAATCAGTCTGGCAAGGTTAGTGGGACCCACGTTATGGAGGACTTTAAATGACAGAGTTGGGGTGGGGGTTGTAGTTTATCCCAACGTCCCCTGGGCTTCTCTAGGCATGCCCATTTCTAACATGGAGCTGCTCTTGAGGAGCCTTTTTGAGGGTGCCCATTTTGCTTAATATGGAGCCCACTGAGCCCCTTACCACAGGGTAGGTAGCCACAAGATTTTCCAACAATAACCATTTATTGTGGGGTAGCTAGGTGGCCCATTGGATAAAGCACCGGCCTTGGAGTGAGAAAGGACTTGAGTTCAAATTCGACCTCAGACACTTACTAGCTGTGTGATCCTGGGCAGGTCACTTAACCCTGATCGTTTTGCCAAAGGGGGAAAAAAAGCATTTATTAAGCATAGAGACATTGTGCTAAGAACTAAATAAAATGGGAAAACACAGTCCTTGAGCTCATAGTCTAAAAGAGGAGATAATATGTAAACAACATTGTTCAAATGAGATAAATATAGGATACATTAGAGATAATCAACAGAGGGAAAGCATTAGCATTAAAGGCTATTGCAGAAAGGCTTTCCTGTAGAAGGTGGGACTTGAAAGAAGCCAGGTAAGCAAGGGAGGTGCAGATGAGGAGGGAGAGGCGATGTACTCCCAAGATGGTGAGAAGGTAGCCTCTACAAGCCTCTAAAGCTGATGGGATAAGGGAGAGGGAGAGAAAAGAATCAAAGCCGACTCCTAGGTGGGCACCTAGGTGACTTGAAGGATGGTAGTGCCTTCAACAGAATGCCTGGGCATTTAAGGGAGAAAAAAGCAAATGCTTTTTGGGGCATGAAGAGGGTCCAGCATGAGGGATCCTCATGTTCTCTTGCAAAGCCAGGCTGCATCTGGAGGCCGGGTCCAGTTCTGGGGCCACAATTGTTAAGAGCAGCACAGCTGATCTGCATTTATTTCAGGGCGGGCCAACATCAGCAGGCAGGGGAAAGGAGCCAGGTCCCTAACAGGATGTCCCGGAGCTGGAGCCGTCCTTTCTGGCTCCTGCATCAGGACCAGCCACCCTAGCCTCGCCTGGACTCTCAGAAGCCCTGGGCCAGGCCTCACTCTTCCCACCCCAGCGGCAGAGACTCTTAAGGTTGTGATGCCTAGTCTGGTCCTATCCACAGACTCCCCAGGCTGGAGGGGCCCCGCCCCCAGGTTTACCCATAGACGCCCCCAGGCCAGAGGCCCCGCCCCTAGGCCTACCCACAGACTCTCCAGGTTGAGAGGCCACGCCCCCAGGGCAGAAATCCCACCCCCAGACCTATCCAGACTCCTCAGCTTTCCAGGTCCCGTCCCCAGCCTCCACAAACTGAGAAGCCCCGGATCCCTCCATCTGGCCCGCCCCGCGGGCTCTCCCAGGCCTGGGTCCCCTTCCCCTCGGCTCCCTCCTCTTCCCCCGTAGTGGGCCGGGCCTCACCACAGAGATGACTTTAAACTCCCCGGAGCAGTTTTTGAGGAAGTAGTTGCGGATGCTCTGCTGGCACTCCCGTCTGTATCTGGCGAACCCACCCTTCGGTCCCCCACCTTTCGGTCCCCTATCCTTCGGTCCCTCACCCTTCGGTCTCCCACCCTTCGCTCCCCACCCTTCGGTCCCCCACCTTTCGGTCCCCCATCCTTCGGTCCCTCATCTTTCGGTACCCCATCCTTCGGTCCCTCATCCTTCGGTCCCCCACCTTTCGGTACCCCATCCTGTGGTCCCTCACCCTTCGGTACCCCATCCTTCGGTCCCTCATCCTTCGGTCCCCCACCTTTCGGTACCCCATCCTGCGGTCCCTCACCTTTCGGTCCCCCATCCTTCGGTCCTTCATCCTTCGGTCCCTCATCTTTCGGTTCCCCACCCTTCCGTCCCCCACCTTTCGGTCCCCCACCCTTTGGACCCTCATCCTTCAGTCCCCCACCCTCCGGTCCCCCACCCTCCGGTCCCCCACCCTTCGGACCCTCATCCTTCAGTCCCCCACCCTTCGGTACCCCATCCTGCGGTCCCTCACCCTTCGGTACCCCATCCTGCGGTCCCCCACGCTTCCGTCCCCTATGCTTCGGTCCCCCACGCTTCAGTCCCCCATGCTTCGTTTCCCCACTTGCGTTCATCTTTGTGGGCAACATGGCGAGTGGCGGACGGGGACTGACTCCAGGCCAGCCGCAACCGCGGCCCCGTCCCAAGAAGCGTTCTCTGAGGAGTCGGCTCCCAACGGCTGCTGCCCCCGCGCCCACCCTCTCCCCCGCCCCACTCCCTTCTGCGGTCTCTGAGCGAGCCCCGGTGGAACCACCCACTCCCCGGGACCCTCTGCGCGCCCCCGCAGAGGACCCCCCCGCGCCCTTTCAGGCCCCTGTGGAACTACCGCCCTCCAACTCTGGGACCCCTGTGCCCTCTGTGCAACGCCCTTCCCCCCAATCCCGGGACCCCTTGTGTACTTCCGTGAAAGCCCCCTGAATGCTCCGGTGCACCCTCCTTACTGGGATCCCCTGCGTTTCCGTGCATTCCACACCCCGCCCCCCCCTGGAATTCCCTGCGCGCCCTCCTGCAACCCCACCTTTCCGACCCTAGGATCCTCTGCTGGAGAAGGCTAGATGGAATGGGATTACTTGTGCATATAGAAGGATCTGATTTGTGAGACAGTCTGGGGATCTTGGTTGTAGTCCCGTCTTGGGCTCTGCCGCTGGCATGCTGTGTGACCTTGGGAAAATCACCCCTCCCTCCCACTTCCCTCCTTCCCACTTCCCTCCCTCCCTAGTTCCCTCGGGGACCTCGCTGTCTCACTTTCACCATATGCTACCTTCTGTCCCCAAGCCTTTACACAGGCCGTCCCCTCTGCCTGCAGTGTTTGCCTGCCTTCCGCACTTCTGCCCCTTGGAACCCTTAACTGAATCTTCAAGCCTCCCCTGCTTACAGGAGTCCTCTTCTGATCCCCAAAGTTGTCAGTGGCCCTCCTTTGCATTTATTTTGCAATTAGATGAGCAGTAGACCTAGAGTCTACTCTAGTTTCCTCATTAGTAAAATGGGGATAATCCGAACACCTACCTCACAGAGTCGTGAAAAACCAAATGAGGTAACATTTGTAAGTCACTTTGAAAACTCTAAAGCGCTATATAAATGCTATCATCATTATTATATCCTTTTTTTATTTGGTGGCACGAAGTAGACAGAGCGCCAGGCCTGGAGTCAGGAAGTTCAAATCCAATTCAAATCCAGCCTCAGATACTAGCTGTGTGACCCTGGGTGAGTCACTTAACTCTGTTTGCCTTCCTTTCCTCATCTGTCAAATGAGCTGGAGAAGGAAATGGCAAATCACTCCAGTACCTTGTCCAAGAAAACCCCAAATGGGGTCATAAAGAGTCAGACACGAGTGAACAACCACAAGTATATATTATATAGAAGCAGCTGTGTCACTTTTGTATGTTTTCCCAGAACCTAGGACAATGCTTGGCACATAGCAGATGCTCATTCAATTTTTATCTGTAAAATATGGGTGGGGGGAGAATGGGACATAAGTAACTACAAGCAAGTTGCGAGTTTAGCAATTGTGTTTCCTGTTATCTCTTTCTTATGTTTCCTCATCTGCAAAATGAAGGGATTGAAATGGGTCCCTTTCAGTTCTAAATCCTCTGGACTTCATCCTCCTGTTTTGGAACAGGTTTGTTCCCACATAAATGAGACTCTCTGCCTCCCCCTTACTCCCAGTACTAGCTCATATGAGGGGAGACAGAGACAGACATTGAGAACCCTCTGGAAGACTCACCTCACCCTTAAAAACTAAATACCCTTCTTCCTGCATTACAAAATGTCCTTTCCCCTTGTTTGCTCACCTTAACTTCCTCGTGGGGTGTCAGGATAAGAATTCCTCTGGTGCTGCGCCCTGGAGATAAGTTATCAGCAGTTCCTATTTAAACCAGCTCTGTACTGCCCTCGGTGCTACTGGACTCTCTTCAGATCTGTCCTACTCTGACACTCCAAAAAGCCTGCATAGGCTTTTCAGTGAGAGGTTCCCCCAGCCCTTCCTGCCTTACTGGGAAGGAGTTAAGTCAGAAGGATGAGTAGTGTATCTTTGTTTCCCCAGGAATTCTGTTTAGTTTGTTGTTGGTCTCTCTGCCCCCTTTCCCCACTCTGATTCCTCCTTCACTCAGCTGCCCAATTGCATTTCCTAAAGCATAGTTTGACCATGTCTCCCTCCTCATCACCACCTTCTGGCTTTCCTGTCTTCCTTCAGATTCCTGCTAAAATCCTACTCTCTGTAAAAAGCATTTCTGGATCTCCTTTAATGAGAGTACCTCCTGTATATATCTTGTATATGTAGTTGTTGGCATGTTTTCTCCCCCATTATGCGAGCTCCTTGAGAGCAAGGGTTGTTTTCTTTGTCTCTGTATCCCCAGAGCTTAGGAAAGTGCCTGGCACATAGTAATAGTAAAAGCTTATTTCACTAGATTTTATTGCTTGGAAGTAAGATCTTAAGTGCACAGCCTAGAGGGTATTTGAGCCTTGATGAGGTATGCATGGCAGGAGCCAGAATGTCAAGAGTGTTAACTTACAACTCCACAGTTAATGCAAGCTGAATGAATGTGAACAGTAAAAGATGTGCATGGAAAGATTTGCATGTGACTCTGGACCATCCCTGGCACTATCTATTCTTTGTTCTGTTTCTATACTTGGCATAAGGTATCCACTATTCAGTCTTCCTGATGCCAAGGACCAGTCTCATGAGTAAACTCTGCCAATTAACCCAGTAAACTCTAATATGTTTACACATATATACCCACACTGGCATGGACAGCCTTTCCATCTGTTGTCCTATACTTGGTATAATCAGAGCAGAATCTTGCAAAGGTGTCCTCCAGATTTAGCTTTAGAACTTTGTAGCTGATGTTTCATAATTTAGCTCACTCCCAGAGATGTGCCTATGATACTGTATTGTGAAGAGTTCTGGACTTGGTCTAAAGGGAGACCTGAATTCAAATTCTGCTTTGGATATAAAAATAGCTGTGTGACTATGGGGAAGTTACTTTATTTCTCTGGGCCTGTGTAAAATGGGAAAAATAATAGGTGAAGCCATTCCCTGGTGGAATTACTGTATGAACTAGATAAACTGTTTGTAGAAAGCTTTGCAAAACCTTAAAACAGGAAATCAATATTATCTAGTCTTCTTACTACTCATACTACCCTTCTGCTCTGTACTCGTAGAACAATCATCTTAAGAGTTTCATAGAAGGCCTTATGGATTTGGGGTGAGAGGATCTGGGTTCAAAACCTAACTCTGTTAGTCATTTCCTCTGTCAGGCTCTCAGTTTTGTCATCATAAAATGAACAGGTTGGACTAGATCAGGAGTAGGGAACCTGTGGCCTCGAAGCCACATATGGCCCTCTAGTTCCTCAAGCCCTTTTGACTGAATCCAAACTTCACAGAACAAATCCCCTTAATAAAAGGATTTGTTCTGTAAATCATGGACTCAGTCAAAATGCTGCACCCAAGGACCCAGAAGGCCACATGTGGCCTCGAGGCCACAGGTTCCCCTGGACTAGATTCTCTTTGAGGTCTCTTCCAGTTCTTTATGGCCATGGATAGGAGACATTTGGCTGCTTTTTTTTTTTTTAGCTCAACAGCCCTCCCTATCTTGCCATTTTGCTAATGAGGAAACTGAGGCCCAGAAAAAGTAAGGGAATGGCCCAAGGTCACACAGATAGTTAAAATTCAGGAGCCACAACTTGACCACCAGTCTTCTGATTCCTAAAACCCATGTAATCTATCCACTACTCCACAAGTACCTCAATTACCCCACTTCTTTTAACATACTGAAAACTCTTCCCTAAGGATAAACTATTCCTTCTAAAATTAAGTGGAAATCTTTCTGGAAAGAAAGGATTGAGGACAGAAGTGTTTGTATGTTTTGAGAGCACTGATTATTAAGCGTACTGAACCACAGTTTTGAAAACTGGCAACCTCAGAGGGGATGCTCTGTTCACTTTGCTGGTGCTGCTGGTGCCGGTTGCATTATGGCTGGCTGCTTCTACTTCCTCATCGCCATTGCCCCTCTTTCTTCTGCTACTGCCTTCTCTCCGGTTGTGTCAGACGTTTCTTTTTTCATATCTTTTCCTGCTAATCTGTTATCTTTCACCGCTGTCTTCCATTTATTATACCATAATCTGCCTCCCTGGCAAGCCACCTCAAGGATACACACACCTGCGGCGGTAAAGCAACAAGCCTGGAAAAGAAAAACACAAAAAGAAGGTTCTGCTGTAGCCATTCCTATGTGGCCCAGGTGACAGTTGGGGTTCTGTGGAAAAGCAACACTTGTTGGAAGCTACACTCCGGAGGTGAAGACTTTAATGTAGGAAGGAGGGAAGATCACTGGATTTGGCATTTCATAGATTCATAGAGTTTGGGAATTGGCAGAAACCTTAGAATCTTCTATTTTAACCCCTTCAATTTTACTTAAATTATTAACTTTGTTGTAAGAATGAGGGTTGATCAATAACCCCTCCCCATCACCACTTAAAGTAAATAGCAAGATGTTTTATACCCTGAGGCTTTTATCGGGTGAGAGCATCCATCTTTAATCAGTCAATTAGAGGTATTAAACTAGGCAGGAAAACAACAGTTTGAAAGGAGCAAAATGCTACTTGTCATTGGAAGAAGTGAAATGATAGTAGGAAGTATATTGGAACTGGCTGACAAGTGTTGGCATTTACCTATGCAAACCAGGACATAAGAAAAGAAAATGGAATAATGAGAATATGTGATTAAACAAACAAAAGAACTCCAATAATGTAAATGATTGTACATTTGTCTAGAAACTAGTTACCAAATAACTCCATCCCCCCCAATTTGCATATTGGCTTTAAAATAGAGTGCCCACTTTATCTTTATTTCATGATCCTTATGGACTTTCTCAGTAGCTATAGAGCCTATATTTGTTGTTGTTATATTGTTGCAGTCAGCATGTATATTTTTGATTCTGCTTTCTTTATTTAGAATTATTTCATGTTAGTCTTCTCATATTTTTATATATGAAGAACTGAGATTCAGAAAAATAATTTGCTTGTCCATGGTTACCCAGCTAAGTAAGTGCCAGAGGTAGTCCATGGACTCAGATCTTTCTGACTTCAAGTCCATTATGCTGCCTCTCACAAATGTGTGTGTATGTATTGTGCATGTGTGAATTTATATACAACACACAGATACAGACATCTGTATCTGTGTGTGCATACATACACACACATATTACTTATTTGTAATAATCCCAAAATGGAAACAAATCGGTCATCATTGGGAATGGCTCCATGTTAATAGTTCGTGTATTGTCTTGTGAGTATGTGTGTATATACATATACACACAATCCATACACACACACACACATATATAATATATGCATAATATATATGCACATATCATTATCATAGAACCATTCCCAATGACAATTTATGCACACGTATACAATACACACATCATTGGGCAATTCCCAATGACACCTTATACACACACATACAATATATGCACACACATACAACACACACATACACACTCTTATCATTGGGCCATTTCCAATGACAACAAGTTGATTTCCAGTTTGGAATTATTACAAATAATGTTGTTAGGAACGTTTTTGTATGGGTAGGTCTGTTTTTCTGTTTTTCATGGCTCCTTGGGGCATGGGAATAGTGGGATCTACTAGGTCAAAAGGTATGTGTATTTTTGTAACTCTTATTCTATCATTCCACATTACTTTTCAAAAAGTACAGTCTAGTTTATACCACCAGCAATGGTACAACTATACAGCCACAGATGTATAAGCACTGAATTATGTCATATTAGGTTCGTAGGAGACTTATAGGTAGAAAGGACTTTATTTTATTTTTTATTTTTTTTAAGGCAATTGGGGTTAAGTGACTTGCCCAGGGTCACACAGCTAGTAAGCATCAAGACTTTGGTCTGAGACCAAATTTGAACTCAGGTCCTCCTGACGTCAGGGCCGGTGCTCTATCCACTGCGCCACATAGCTGCCCCTGTAGAAGGGACTTTAGAGGCTACCTAAACTAGCTTCATCATTTTACAAATAAAGAAAATTGAGACTAAAGGAAAAAGAGGTTAAATACTTTCCCAAAGTCATATAGCTGGTAAGTGGTAGAACTGGGATTGTCTTTGCCGATTTGATGGGTGTCAGGCGGAACATCAGAATCATTTCAACTCGCTTTTATTATTAGAGAGTTTGAAGAATTTGATAATTCATGCTTCCTTCAAGAACTGTTTGTCCATATTCTTTGACCACTGGAGAACAGCTTTTGCATTTTGTTAATTCCCTATGCACCCTGGATGTCAGACTTTTTATCAGGGGAGTGTGATGTGTTTTTCATCTATTTCTTTCCGTTATTCTGGGTACATTGGTTTATGTTGTACAAAAGCTTATATACACATGTATGTCTGTATGGTATGTATGTATGGATGAATGGATGTGTATACACACATACATATTTGGGGCTGCAAGTGTCCCCTGAAGGAAAGGGGCAAGAGGCCTGGCCAACTTCCATTTGCCCCAACACAACTTCCCCCTGCACCAGAGAATCCCCCTTTCTGCTGCTACCTCGTTTTTTGCTGGTTTGCTTCAAAATTTGGCTCAAATCCTACCTCATGTAGGAATGTAAGCTCATTGCCAGAACATAGGGTTTCATTGTTTGTCCTTGTATCTCCAGCCCCTAGTATAGTACCTGGTGTACAGCAGGCATTTATTAAATGCTGGTTGGTTGATTGAGGCTTTTCATGGTCTTCCCCACTGCTAGAGCCTTCTAGATTGCCTTCCATTTACACTGTGTATGTATGTATGTATGTACTTGTTTCCATGTTGTCTCTCTCATTAGACTTTAAGTTCCTTAAGGGCAGGAACCATGTTTTTGACTTTCTTTGTGTAGCATATATGTGTGTGCCCATGTAGGTTATGTGTATCAACATTGTTCTCTCTAAACGTGGCTCCCAGAGAGGCAAGAATAGATATCGCTGGAGTCTTCTTCACTCACCCTTATCCAAGGGAAACATGATTCCTGCTAGGAGGGGAGCAGGATATTGGTCCCAAGAGGCTGGCCAATCTGCTTTCCTCTGGCTTAAATTCTATCTTGCCACTTCTCTAAAGATCGGTAGTCCAGGGAAAATAATTTTTAAGTCCAAGCCACTCTCCTGATCATATCCCTTGAACGGGGGAAAAAAGGCTCTAAGCAATAAGTCCCAAAGCATGAATTCCTTCCCACTAAATTCCAGTCCCACAAAGACCATCACACACAGCCATTTATTCAATAAAATAAGCCCATTTATTCAAGCTGATAGTAAACAGAAGTCAGAGGAGGTGACTTGATAATCTTTGGCATTCTTTCTGTGTCCTTTCTGGCTATCTTTATGATAATCACATAGATCACCAGTTAACTATGTGGCAGTTGTCCATTTTGACAGATCTTGGGAAGTTTTCTATTATATCTTGGATTCAATCCTCCCAGCATGCAACAGGCCTCTTTGATGTCATCCTGACGATAAATAGCTGCCTTAATACTCCTCAACAGAGTCTCTAGCCTTCTATATTATTCTGACCTTTATGGGACTGTTACATGCTCTTTCTTTGACAGCATGGACTATTTTACTCTCCTATCTATATCCCAGTGCTTAGCACAGTGTCTTGCATATAGTAAGTACTTAATGCTTCATTCATTCATTCTTCCATTTAGATGCAACTTCCTCCTTTCTACTGGTTTCATTTATAGCAAGTCAAGATAAGACACGACTAAGCTTCTCCAGTGTCTATTCTAGTCTATTCATGGTCACTGGACAAGGCTCTCACATTTAAAACTACCAGCAGTCAAATGAATGTTTATAGATGGTCTAAAAATGGTGTGATCCTTAGCACCCTCTATTCCTTTCTCTGGGGTATCATGGCAGCTCACCCCTGTTTAATCTATCAAGTGTCCAGCCCTCTACAGATGAAACTCTCCATACTTAGCTGGGCTGGTTTTTGGAAAACAGACTCAGTCTGTTCCTGGGGCAATACACCTACATATGTACTCGATCTCATCCCTCTCTGTCTTCTCCACTAGATCGCATCCTCACTGCAATCTTATTCCCTGATCTATAATTTCTCCTTAGTTACTGATTTGCTTCCCTGCTGTATTCAGACACCTTCACGTCTCTCCCATCCTTAAAAAAAAAAACCAAAACCCTTTACTAGATTAAATGGGGCCTCACTGAGGGAGACAGAGAATGGCAGGAAGCAGTATATCCACAAAACTTCTCCAGGCTCCAAACTCCTCCCCATCTAGAAGAGGCACCAGACTGAATCCTAAGGGGGAAATCCAGAAAAAGTCACTGTGAATCATTTATCCAGTTCTCTTCAGCATAGGAACACAGACAGGGAGGTCTGTGGACACTGGGAACCAGGTCAGGTCAGGAGCACAATACCTGCAAGCACTCCAGCCCCTAGGGCTAGATTCAGGGCAAGAGGAGCCAAACTAGGACAGTGCAATGGGGACAGGTGCCAACTGGCAGCTTTGTCACCCATTACCCAGTTCTGGGTCACAGACACATGGCAGAGTGAGAAGGGACCTGAGCGCAGGGGTGGTGGTAGGGGTAGGGAGGCCCCTAGGCAGTGGACCAAGAGTAACCTTATTCTCAGAGCTGATTGGCATGGGGCTCTTTCCTCATCGGTGGAGGTGAATGCCCTGCACCTGCATGGGGGCCATGCCCACTTGGTGAAATTGAGACAGAAGCAGGTCTTCATTCCTCTTTGTGCTCACGAGTCACTCTGATTTCTTCAGGTCTCTTTGGGCTCTGTCGTCACTTCAGGCACTCTTAGCTTCCAGCTTTGAGAAAGAAGATGAAAGAGACCAACCCCGCTTCAGGTTACTAAAGGAAGAGACTCTGGAAAGAAGCCAACATGGGAGGAGCTGGCAGCCCCTGTCACATGCCTTCCTCCAGCTTGTTAGACAAAGACTTTAGGGAACTTCCCCTTCAGTGAAATCTAGGACTTTCTTTCTTGGTTGAGCTGTTACCCTGAGAGCTCCTTCACTCTGTATCATCTGGATCTATATGCTTTCTCTGATTTCTGTTTTGCTCTCAAATTGGATAAATGGGCTTCTTTGATAATTGCTCTGTGTGTTCATTGTGGAACTGGTGTTTGAGTAAAAGGGGCATAAAGACTGGGATATATAAAGATTGAGGTCCTGCTACCC